TGGTTCAGATATTACTCACGAGAGAGCCTCTCGAGATGCTAAAAAGTTTTTTAACTCGGAATATGATAGTAAGATAGGACATAGCTATAGGTGAAATATCCTAAGTTGGTTCCAGTGCAAGTTGCTTCTGACAGAAATTATGAATTGTTCAAGTTAGGAACAAGGTTTTCAAATTGTCCTTGAACTTTGCTTTTCTCGACGAGACAAAGGTATATTGGACTCAGAATTTTTACTGTGGCTATCACAACTAGCGTTCTTGATCACCTGAAAGTTCGAGCTCAAAATAATAATGTTACAGGGGGGAAACAATTTTTCAAGCTTTCTTCGTAACTGTGTACTTTTTCATGTTTCACTGCTCGATGATAGAAGGTTCGCTTGAGCGAATTTATTCAGGCTATACACAGGCTAAGACAAGTTATCTATAGCAAAGTTTTGAAGTTAATCCTTTCTCTTTTCAACGTTCTAGAAAAAAGTTGTCAATAGACGTTAATATCGTTCTTCTTGTGTGTATGAATGAATATCAAAAGAAAATAGGATGAACGAACGCAGAAAGGATTGTATTACGTAGATAAAGTCAGTACCATATTCGCCATTTTTTGTCCGGATTCACTATACCATCTGAGTTGGCTCTCGATCCAGTTGAATTAGGTGTACATTTTCATGCTGAATCGAATGGGTGTGGGTGTGGGTATGGGTTTGAGTTTCTGTTTAAATGACACGTACACGCATACCCCCTACCTTGAAACACCAGTATATGTGGGATACAAGTGATGTTTTTTGACCGACAGTCTTTCTTGAAAATATCACCATTCGATTTAGCATGAAATTCTGCACCTACCTGAACTGGAATGAGACGCAACTCAGGGAGTATAGCGAATCCGAACAAAAAATGGCGAATATGGTGCTACCTTTACCGACGTGATCGTAGTGGGTTTTTCAAATGCTGTCTTCATAATAGCAACAATGGGATGATGCCAGAAATAGAGGAGAGAAAAATTTTTTTGCTCGAGTGTGAGGAAAAGAATATTACATTTTACTACTGTTAAAGTATGATTCATATGTACATTTTCTTTCTTTTCTTTTGTTTTCTTGTATCACGCCGTACAGATGATGTACACGCATCCATATACATATTCTGCTTGTCTTTTCTTTTCTTCACTTTCCGATATTTCCTGTACGTTCAAGTACTTGTCCTTCTCGTTAGCTTGTTTTCCCAACTACCTTTGGTTTTTCCTAACTTGTTCGCATATATATAGTGATTGCTTGGTAGGTAAAAGGTATACGTTAGTTATCAATCAGTTAGATCGAGCCATCCATTAACGATCATACTGTCTCGAAACTAAAAAATGAGTGTAGTTGATAAAATTGGGCAATTGCTTTTGAAACAAACTTCTGAAAAGCTTCAAACCATATTACGAATCATTCCTTTTCAAGGTGTACATGTGGGTTGGCAGATGAGGGTGTGGATGTGAATGTGAAGTTGAGGTTGATGAGTGAGGGTATGGGTATCAATGTGAAGTATGAGACGTGGGTATATTTGAAGAAGCTTCACACCCACACCCTCACACTCAATATAGCTTTGTTGTTAGTGTACTTTTGTATAAAATATTTCTCTCACCAGTTATATGAAGTATATAAGATAATCAACACATAAGTTGTTATACAAAATCGAGTGTTAAAACAAGTCAGCATGCATATCTACATCAATATATCTAATAAAAATAATATCTCGAATGCGATAAATTGAAAAAGTTACATTTTTAGCCAAACATCGCTACATTATTTTTTGGATTGATATTAACAATGAGTTTACTTCTTGTTATCAATGAAACATAGTAGATGGCATTTTTCCAGCAAAGGTTCCAGAACAAAAATTAAAAAAAAGATTATCTACGTCTTTCCAACACAAGCAATATAGCAAGAGTCTAGCTAGCTGATTGTTAAAAATTAGAAAGTATATTGCATAAAGATCATGCAAAGTGGAAAAGATAAAATAAAAAAATAATTTGTTACAAGAAGTGACATATATACAACAACGTGAAGCTATTGTTGCTGTTTACGTGAAGAATACACGACCCAACTACAATCGTATACGAGCGTCGTTTACAGTAATCGTATTGCATCATGTGCAATCATCGTGTACGACCATGCTTATTCGTCCTGTTTTTTTTTGTATACGGTCGTATATGATCGTGGTTTTTAAACCTGGAAAGATTGAATTTATGCCATTAAGAAACTTAAACGGATATTTTTTAATAAATATAAAAAGTTACGGCAAGAATGAGTTCTAACTATCAAAGTTTGTATGAAATATTTTCTTTCGATCTAAACAATATATCTTACTTTACTTCATTTTTGCCACATGATCAAATAAAAAGAAAATAATTATTTTTTAGAATATATATTTTTTGACACGCTTCACATTAGGATTAGAGAATACATACTAAAGAAAAGTTTATCCTAAAAAAATTAATGAGAACACCTACCTTTATGGATATATAGGCACGTTCAAGGAGGAAAGAGCGCTCTTTCGTCGAGCCATCAAAGCAGAAATTAGAAGACACCTCATTAGAAAATTCTTTTGATTAATAAGTAAGGAGCAAGATATAGACTACTGAATCGTTTTAGAAAATGAAAAATACAGGACAAATGCATGTAAGAAGTAGATCTATAATAACCTCATTATCATTTTCTTTGTAAAAGACTGAAAACATTTTTATACGAGTAGTTTCTTTATCCACACGTTACAAATATTTTACATGCTCAGGCCGAATAGAACGACTCAAAAACGGTAAAAAATGGTTGCAATCAAAAAGCTATCTCATAAGCATCATTAAATATTTTTTGATCATGTTTAGTAGATAAATCTAAATGATTTCATGGAAGGATTTGCCCGAGGTGTAACTGCACTTTATTCTTTGTTTTTCTTAAATTTTGCTTTTTTTTCGTTAATATCAGTCTCTAATCAACTTTTTTTGAGAATACATCCTATTCCGCGATGTTGCACATTGCTGGAATCAGTTCCGCCCCGGAATCGATTCCATCCAATTCCGCAATTCCGCTCACACAGACCTCAATCCAATTCCGGAATCAAATCAACCATTTCCCAACAATTCCGGAATCATTTCCAATAATACCATATAATTCCGAAACTCCGGGAATTCCATCAAGCAGGAATCGCTGCGAATTAGCCTGAATTGCTTCAAATTCCATGTAATTCCGTTATATTCCGGAATCATATATACGTTGCATTAATACCATAGTTCACTTCTAGTGTATCCATGCAATTCCCAAACGGAATTCCGGGAATCGCTTGAAGGAGGAATTCGACGGAATTGCATGCAATTCCATGTAACTCCGTTCGATTCCGGAATCATTTATTCCTTGCATTAATACCATAGCTCACTTCGACTGTATGCATGCAATTCCCAAACGGAATTCCGGGAATCGCATAAAGGAGGTATTGGACGGAATTAGACGGAATTGCATGCAATTCCATGTAATTCCCTTCGATTCCGGAATCATTTATTCGTTGTATTAACACCATTGCTCACTTCCAGTGTATGCATGCAACTGATAAACGGAATTCCGGGAATTGAGTCGAGACGGAATCGCACGGAATTGGACGGAATTCCCAGGAATTC